CCCCATAAAATGAAAAAAAAAACTTTTCAATTTGACCAGTTTTCGCGAAGTTACGCTTATTTGAAATTCGCCAAATTTTGATGTAAATTTCTTGTTGCGTTAATTTTTTTGACCAGTGTATATGGTGATTAACATATACACACGCAAAAAAAATGTTGCACAAACAATATCAGTGTAATTGAAATAAAATAGTTGAAACAACATCAGTATTGATGAATGAAACACATCAGATAGTTGTCTTAATAATCTGGATATTTAGTTCAATGCTTAACATTAAAATCCATAGCAAATACAATTGAGCGAATTATTTATGTTTGTGGCAGCCCGTGACATCTACGTTTAATTGAAGCAACTTAATTTTTTCTTAATTCAACAGCATTTTTTTCTGTGCGTGTACATTTTCTTCTATTTTCTTCTCTCTCTTGATTCAAAAGAAGTTGTAACTCACTCAATTACTAAAATCACTTTGTATAATGTCCGACAAATCAAGAAAGAAGGAAAATTGAAATCTTGGCTCTTGTAAAAATACGAGTGAAAAATGTGATCGTTGCCTATATCTTATGTAGTCTTGTAGACTTTCTGAACATGAAATAAAACGGACATCCAGACTTCGGGTGGATGAGAATGGGGGCGAAAAGGATTGTAGGCAAATGCAAGGAATGAATTAAAACGTACACGAGACGAGCGTGCACGCGTCAACGCGAGTCGCATTTGCGTTTTGATCACGTTCGAATGAGACTAATTACCCTGGTCCAAGAGAATAATCTCGACGGTCGCCCCGAGCGGCACGTGGCGCACGTGCACGCACTCGCATATGTCGCCCGCGCCGACCTCGCCGACCGAACGGCACCGGCGTCGCGACACGGTCTCGTTGCTCTCATTGAGATCGTCCTCCTTGTCATCGCTGTTGGTGCACAGCATCCCCGGGGACACGTCCCCACCCTGGGTCAATAGCGGTGACGACGGGAACGTGAAAGTAGCATTGTCCACGTTCAACACTCGCGTCTCCGTCCCACCGTTACCTGGACAAGAAGGAGGAAAGATTTTCGCGCTGCGATTAGATAATCGAGTTCATTCGCTCTCTCGGCTCGAAACTATCTGCAGCTCTCTTAATGCCAATTTAATTACACACTGTTTTCTCGACGTGCATTGCTACGCGAGCGGTTGGAAGTTTCTTCTCCGACGTAAACAATGATTAATGAAAATGTAGGCCGTTCCACTATCGGTGTCTCGTTAGCAACCAGATATTTCTAATTTAGAGACTTCTTCATGATGAAAATTTAATGAGAAATCAGTACCGCATCTTTACATTCGACACTTTGATACAATGACATCACGTAATATCTTTATTCTAATCAAGTTGACTAAAATGTTAAATAGTGAAAGTTTTAAATATAATTCGTATTTTCTGAATTTAATTTTGATTACTTTTAATTGCAAAACCTGCATTAAAAACCTTAAGATTGAAGGAAGATAAGCGAGAGAAATTAAATTGCTGATCGAATTTTGAGATTTCTCCATGATAAAAGGGAAATATGTATATATCTCAACAGCTTCTTTGTCTTCCATGTTTGATATTTTAATAAGTTACAATGAAATCACGTAAAATTTTCATTTCAGTCAAACTGACTAAAATTCCAGAGTTAAATTTTTATACTGGCATTGTTTCAATTTAATTTCTCTCTCTAAACGTTAATAATATTGTAGTCAAGTTTCTTTCGTTGAAAGTCCTAAAGTTGGAGGAAGATAAATTCTTAAGCCATTAAAAAGCTAATCGGAAAGAAGTTCTGTCATTGTAAAAAAAAATAACAACAGTGAAAGTGCTTTCTAACCGAGATACGTTATTATACACGAAACCTGCTCGGCAGCGCAAAATTTTAATAACCCGGATTTTAATATAATGCGGTGAATAAAAAAAAAGTGGTGAAACTTAGATGGCAGTATTTTTATCCATCGGTTGAGTCTGCCCGCGTTAATTAATGCCCCGTGCATACGTGTCGGTTGCATCTTAATTTGCACTTTCACTCCCATCAGGCGATCCATCAGTCTTTTACGTTATTACACACCTATCAGTTCCGTCGCTTGAATCTTGTAGTTAATCGGTAGATACAGCGTCACATCCATCCTAGGCTTGGCAAGTATCTGTGGCATTTTGCGGATATTTTGAATATCCATGGCGCACAAGCTCTCTCGGTCGCCGCATTTCTCGGCGGGATTCGTCGTCATGGCCAGCCGGTCCGGTTCTATCTCGTCGATATCGTGCTGATTGATAACTTCCGCCGTTGCTGCAGGATTTTCCGAATTGCCTTTATAGTTGAGCATCGCCGCGCCATTTATCGCGCTGGTTCCGCATTCTTTCGTTGTGTGCACGTTTATCCAATAGGAACCGATGCGTTTGCTCGCTTTGAGAACGAAGTCCGCCCTTTCACCTTTAACGAATATCGAGGACTCCTCATCAGTCTCGGCGTATTCGATGATCGTGAGGAATCGGGGAAATAAAACCTTGCTTCGCACGAATAACGCTAGAGCTAACGGCCATCGATCTTACGTTCGCAATTATTGAGTTTTAACTTTCTTGCACAGTAAAAAATAAAATGTTAATGTTAACATTTTTTACATGTCCCAAAAAGTCCACTCTAAATTTTAAGTTAAAATAACATTTATCGCGTGTGTTATTTTTTACAAATTATAAATGTTAATTAATCAACGTTATATTTCACATTTATGTTTGTGTTCTTTCAACCTTAAGTGTGATGTAATAAAAACAGACAGGATAAGTAAACTGTACGAGTAGTTACAAATCAGAATAGTTGAAATAATTTTTAAGAAGTGTCGATATTACACGTTTTGGTTAATTTTGTGACAGTTGTGTTAAAAAAACTCAAAGTAATATTCAATCTTTAAGTAACATACATAAAGCGTCAAGTTATTACGTTAACATAAATATAACACGAAAAAGTGTTACGAAAATAATAACATGTACGTTTTATGTTAATTTTACATTGAAGTAAGAATCAAATCTTGGTAACACAAGAAAATTTTAACATTTAAACGCACAATTTTTTACTGTGTGCAAATCTCAAAGGGTAAAAGTTGCGGAGCGAGTCACCTAAGACCCGACGTATTCGAGAGCAGAAGTGTTTGAGAAAATAAACGTCATCAGCTGCTATTTAATTTACACTTGAAAATCAAGACTAGCGAGACTTGCGCAACATGTTTTTGCAATTTCTTGCGTTTAATCTTTGCTTTACGCAATGAACTTGTTAGCAAAAGAAGTATGAAGTACGTAAATCGAAGTATGCGTTTCGGTCAAATATATTCTATTCTCCCAACGATATCGCAAGATTATCAAACGTAAAATCAACATGCGCAACGTGCTAACCGATTGCAAGGGAAAATTAACGAGACTCCAACCTTTGGCCAAAGTGATCGAAGTGACTTGTCGCGGCTCTATAGGATATCCATCAAGCGCGATCAGAAGAAGCGGGTGGTTGTCGACAGAAAGCGTCACCGGGCATGCACCAGCACCCCCGGCATTAGCAACGCGAAATCTGTGACGTCGTCCTGGAATGACCGTGAAGGTGCTCAGAGGAACTGCGAATCCGCTGGGCTGTCGACCTCTCCCATTGATTAAAAGAATTGCCGGCTTCGAGTAACCTTGGTTGAACGATACTTGCGGCGAATGTTGCCACTGGGTCACTAGAATCACGTGATTAGGATCGTCAACGTCGAAAAGGGTACGATGGGGTTCCCGAATGTCCGCCTGTCTCACGATCAACGATCCGATAATGCCATTCGTAACGTCGGCTCCTGAAAAAAAATTTCCAAGAAGTAAATCGTTTAAACAATTTACGCGCTGGTCATATAATTCGTTGCGTTGAAAAATCATAATTAATGATTAATAATCAAAAGCAAATCGATACTATAGAGATAATATCGTGAATAATTAGAACCACGATATAAGTGATTGCATCTAATATCAAACAATTTAAAGATGAAAATATGCATACTGTTAAGTCAATTTTGAAATGGATAAATAATTTCGCAGATTGTAAGTGAAATCGAATAATTTTATAAAGAATTGAAAAAATTGAAAGAATATAATTTTATAAATAATTTTAATTTCAATGGATTAATAAGTACATTTTACTAATCAATTGAAAAAATTAACTTGATTAATTAGATCGATGGAAATATTTGCAAAGTATATAAATTTTAATTAAATAAAATGTAAGTTTTGTAAATATTTTTTATTGTAATCCATAAAATCTTCAGCGTAATAAATAACACTTAATTACCAACCTGCATGTGCGTGCCAGAGATGTGTACCGGGCATGGACGCGCGAAATTTGTATTGGAAAGTAGTGTAACTTGGTATTGGACATTGCGTGACCAACGGTGCACCATCCATGTAAGGCATTTCCATTTGCGTTTGTCCACGCCAATGCACCGCTGCTGCTTTACCAGGAAGACGATTTATCACATCCACCACTAAAATATCGTTTTCACAAACCTGTAAAAACGTTAATTTGTCTGAAAGTTTGCGATTAGTCCAGGTGCCGATTATTGGAAATATTTGAGACGTTAAATCGTACTCGCAAATAAAGAAATAATTATAATTTCGATTATTGCCGTCAAAATAATATACAATATTTTAAATAATAATATAATACAGATGTATTTCGTAATGACTTTAGTATACATAAATTTTATTCATTTTTTATTTTAGGTATGCAGAAATAAATGCATTAAATACAGAGAAATTATAAAAATGTTTAATCTTTAGAAGTTTTATTTAATTTCAATTTTATATATTTTTTAATATTTAAAAACTGAATTTTTGATATTTCAATTTGTGATAAATATCATCTGATAATATTTATTTCTTTCCTTAAATGCTTTCACATTCACGTATCAGATTTTAAGACATGTGTCCGATTAAACTTTTGTCTTCTTAAATAAAAGTTTTAAAATTGTATTAAATATACAAAATGACATTAGAGATTTAATAGAGGCTGATACAAATGAATAATTAGCGTAAATTAACGTAATTTCGCGAAGTAAGGAAACGTATTTAGCCTCAATCAAAACGTATTTAGCTTCAATCAACATTTCTAAAGCTTCGAAATGTTTGCGACCGAGGAAAATCAATTAGATGCCTAGCAAAATTTGCTTTACTCCCAAGTGTTCGCTCACAATCAATTAAACGACGACACGTTCGCGAGATTATTCCTATATATATTCCAGGAATGTAATCAATTACCAAGAGTATTGAGTACGTGTTTCAATCACCGTGCAGCATTTAATTTTAACACGAGATAAAACCTCAACTTTTCTTGCAGGTTACTAATTACACAGGAAGGCGTACTGATATTTGCAAAGTGTGAAACAAAACACATCGATACCACGTAAATTTAATACAATTTCTCTAAAATTATAGCAATGACATAACAGCGAAAACACGTTTGTATTATGAAATTAATCTCGTATTACTGATGAATTTAATAATATCTACGCATTAGTTAATATCTCGATTTTCAAAGTGAACTCCAAAATTCAATAATTCACGAATCCAGTTTATAACTAATTACGAATTTAGAGGCCTATTCTGTAAACGTTAACGACATTACTTGCTTTGCGCAGATACCTATAATATAACATAGAAAAGCTGCCCAAAGCACGTAATCGTACAAAGCATCGTTAACGTTTACAGAATAAGCCCCTTTGATAATGTTGAAACTAAATTGATAATATTCACTTGTATCATATCTGTTCTATGATTGTTGTCGTGCCTTAAATGATAAAATGACAAAATGACACAGAAAATTTTCAACGTGCGCCTATTGAAGCTTTAAAATATAATAACTTCAAACAGTATGTACTTCAAATTGTTTACCAGTTATTTACGAATAACGCATTATGGCCCGGTTTTCACTTTCTGGTTAACTATTAAGCCAGAGGTTAGTCGACTCTCCATTTTTTTCCTATATTATTATCTAAGAATAGACAGGTAATCGACTAACTTCTGGTTAACATTTAACCAGAAAATAAAATACCGGGCCTAAGTGACCCAATTAAAGTGAGAGGGAGAGTGTAGAAAGGTGGCGGGTGACATTGTGGGCACATTGCGCAATGAACTTCATTGAATTACCGGCGGCAAGTGTGATGCACCCGGACTATTGATCGGCGGTTGAACATCGAGGTCATACCTGAATACTGGGTCCTGGCATTTGACGATTGGCCGTAAGTATACCCCGTCTTTGTCCGTCCGCGGAAACGCAATGGTTGGCCAAGCAAGCCGTCTGATTCGAAGGGCAGTCGCCGCATGATCTGTAACGCACATCGTATAATCGCAAATCCTCACGCGTCTAAAGCACACTAGTACACCTAAGAGATCTAATTGCCATGCTGTATCTCTTACCAAATGCAAATTTGCAAAAGCAGATTTGCGAAAGAAAACTTCGCGGTAGTTCTTCACGAAAAATTGTTCGCGAAATGGCTCATCTACTTGCCTTGTACAGTATTTGCCAACGTCTCAAACTATTTAAAAATGCGCGTGGCAAAGATTAATTCTAATTGCAAAATGCAAGACAAATAATCCCGAATCGTTAGAATATTTCAATTAAATAAGACGATTTAATGAGCTATTCGCATAGTACGTGAAAGGTGGAAGGAAGCAAACTATATTATTTAGTAACAGTTGCTTGCATCGTTTACTTGACTTTATTCGCGTTTGTCAAGTACCTGTGAGATCGTCGATTTGGTCTCCTCGACAGGAACACACTAGTACTGTGCCCAATGCAACATTCGTTTCGCATTTAGTCGGTTTCAAGACATCGCGCGATTGATCGCGCGGGAGTCTTCCGCATTACATCGGTCAACGCTTAGAAATTGCATAACAGTTATTACGTCGACAAGCCCGAAACCGTCGGCGCAGCGTTATGCTGCCATAATCGTAGCACGTAACAGTAGAAAAATCGCTATAATGTTGCAATCGCAAAAAAGAACTTCGTAATCGTATCATGAGACGCATGTGGAACGAAGTAATATAATCAGTAATTCCCTTGCGTGTGGCGATTACGACCTAAGGCATGTTTCACTAAACGCAAATACCAAAAGTACTTTCCCTTTCGAGTATATCTTTTTGTTCGAACAAGTAGATTTTCTATAGGAGGATTGAGATAAAGAAAATAATATAACTTTGCTGTTAATCTTGATATAATACAGATGCGATTATAATCAAGATATTTTATAAAATTTTGAAGATAAATATTGCACAACTTTCATGTAACACATGTGTGCTCGTCTAATTCTTTATCTTTCTGCCTCGATTCATTTATTGCTTTCTCTGTGTTATCCAGTATACATATATTAAATTGATACATAACACCCTTACAGAAATGTATAAACAACTAGGAATGAAAACATGTACTGAACAGCTACTAGAGTTGAGTAATCGAATTATTAGAAATTACTGGTGCACAGTAATTTTCTCGTAATTATTTCAATTACATTTCTATAACGGTGAAGGGGGAGACGGCTAAAATGTATTGCTATACAAATTCATCATGAAACAAATAAGTAATGTTTAAATATCTAATTTAATTTGAAATATTCTTCGAAAAATATTAGAAGAAATCTGAGGGAAATAAAAATATAAAAGACACGTAAAAATGCCATAGATTATTAAAACGCCAATGATCGGCGTTGGTGCGATAATTAGCGCTGTCTGACAGTTGTGTAAAAACAGGACAGATCAGTACGGCCTGGTATTGTGACATATATCGTAATGAAGTTTTTCTACTATCTTATATCACCGAGCGCGGATATTAGCTCCTTACGAATGTAGGGCAGAGCAAAGTGATTTTCTAGCTTACTTGCTGAGCGTTTGGAAGACTTCTAACGTGAGTTTCACCCGACAGATCATAGGCCAATCCAAATGATGACACGGTCTGTCACAGGAGAGAAATGTTTGTTCTGGAAAAGAAAAATAGAAAGAGTCAAGGAAGGAGAATAAGAAAAAAAATACGAAGCACATTTTTACACTCGAAGCGAAGAAAGCAGTTTTCCTTGCAGCCGCCGGCCGCAAAAAAAAGCAAACCGACAATCGGTGGAAATGAAAGTCCAAATCATATAGAAAGTGCCATATAGTGTGTATAGCAAAGAGAAGTTAATGATGCGCGCACATGTTAAACGCATTGGATGCTGCGTAGATTAGAAAGAACAGAAATGCACTTCACACGTAGGAATTGCCATTATTACTCATCGTCAGCGTGTAACAGAACCGATTTCTATCATTAGAAAACTTTAAGTCGTTTCTAATTGCTATTGTAACTTACAATTAGTTGCTCAATGAAAAATTTCTTTCTGTATGTTCAAGTACTTATTATAAAAGTATATTCCAAACAGTGCTGTTTCAATAAGAAAAATATGCATAGAGGCTACAGGACCTACATGAAGCCTGCCTATCCACACATTTTAAACATTTATAAACTAATTGTGTGAACTTACTAGGCCTGTAATTGTTAATATGCAAAAATGTGGCCGCTGCGGCGATCATAGTGACAACCACGAGACATCGTAAAATATACGTTGTCGGTGTCGCCACATGATGATGAACGGATTTAGGGGAATACATCGCCTACCGACGTTGTTATGCGACGATAACAAGAGGTGACGACATTTATTCCTCGTGAGATTTAGAGCCCGGCGAACTTTGAATGAGATTTTATGAACGATTAGTTTTCATAAAACATACATGTATCGATGAAATTGCGGAAACAGTAAACGTTATTAAGTAGCGAATATGTGTGTATGTGTGTATGTGTGTGTGTGTGTGTTTAAATAATTCTTAAGATATCATCTCGCAATGAGCGAGTCATTTTTATTACATTCGATTGAAAAATTTCTACTGAAGGCTCTTTGAGCCAGACGTCCATGTCAAGGGTAATAAAATGGAGGCGTCCGTGGAGAAAACCTGTTCGCAAAAGAGAAGAGTAGCCATTTGTACAGACGAGACTGAAAGTTGAGTCGTTGCTTCGTTTTCGTTAAGCAGACTCTCCAAGCTCCCGCTTTAAAACAAGCCGTTCATCAATCAACTTTCGTGAGGCAACTCTGAACGAATCGTAAAGATCAGATTGAAGAGTAATAAAATTAACGATGATTAATCGCAATGACTAATCAAATGCTGGATTTATCTAACGCTATTTATCGCGCGTCAACTGCTAGAGTGCGTTTGAAAATGACAAAGCTTTTTATTCGATTGCAATTGCAAATGTTGATAGATTATTAAAAGGCTTCGAACGAGTTTCTGTAACTATAAGGAACGGACAGCAATTATTTCCTGCGACACAAATATCGTTATATTCCCGAATAAAGTGAACCCCATGGACGAAAATCATCGGAATAGTGAGCAAGGTCAAGAACATTTGTGCGATTGCCTAATAACCGCTTTTGTTCTCGGTTAGAGAGTCATTATCACGCAGAGGCCATTACGTGGAAACTAATCTATAGTATTTCTATTGTATAACATAATATTCATATAACACGTCGTAATCCGGTCATGCGTGTGACACACGGAATCACGTATCTGTATGTACTCCCGACCGAAATCATTATTCACACCGCACGAATTTCACTAGAGGAATCTTCTTGCAACACGGAAGGAAATTGTATAAACGCATCTCCCAATTATAGGATGATATATTATCGAAATTTCGTATGAATAATTTCAACGTAAATTGCAACTCGCGTGCCACTTTTTTTGAAGTTGAAAGTTCGGGTAAACTATCGATACGAGATCTCGGAAATCTTAACCGGTATTTAAATCCAAATAAGAAATTGCATCCTGTGCACACGTTGTTTATCTATCAATGTATGTATTGCATTACTGCGGCGTGACTTAATCTCTTTTTAGACATTAGCCGATTACATATGTAAGCTTCCGTTATGAAACGCAAAGTCACGTTTGCGTCAATCGATAATCGATTCTGGTCAATATATCCCGTGTCAGTATATTCCGTTAATGACTATTCAATACGCGGGCAATTATCAATCAAAATGCGACTCTTAAACGCGAAAAAAGAAACGTAAAAGATTCCGACGTCACGAGTGTTCCCGGAAAAACGAAGCATTAATGCAACAAAAATACGACGAAAGTCGTATTTTGATCCCATTAATTAACAATCATCCGCGAACAAAAATGTCAAGGGGAGACGTATATGAAAAGAAATGCGAATGTCACTGCACCACTGCGGACATTTACGTGGGACCGGTGCAACAATAACCGCGGGCACGGTCGAGCTTCCCGTCGAAGACTGATAGGAACATCGAGACTCCGAAATTCGTTGCCAGAACGACGGTTTCTCTCCCGCTCCCTTTCGCCGTTTCAACGTTCCTCCTCGCTTCCTTGTTGCCTCATGGTCGATAATGCGGAATGTAGGAAGAGGAGTGAGGAATGCACTCTTGAGCATGTGTCGCCAAAAATTGGTGGTACACGTTAAAGTAAAAGCCATACGTAAATATGAGAGACGTAAAGTCCACCAAATAGATAGTACCTCGAAATTGGGAGCTTTATTTTGAGGCGATACATTGTCAAGGCTCATGCGACACAGGAAGAGTGTAACAAATGCCTATCAGGCATGGAAACAGACATTTAGAGGTACATTTCTACCTCGTACTAGTTTAGGAGGTACGTACGGAAAATGGTGTACCTCTTGAAAAGAGGTACCGTGAATATCATAGAGCGGTACCTCCAATTGGTCGTTACATGTTGAGTATTACCTTGTATATTTAAACCTCGTACTAATATACCTGGAAAAATATCTCCTATCAGCGTGCAACTCAAGTCTCTATTCTACTTAGAAATTTGTACCTCGAATTTGGCGGTACTACGCAGTACTAGTTTGGGAGTGTGGATTGGGCCTCGCTGAACAACGTGGAACTATCTAAAGCGAATATACCCGACCCGTACGGAGGACAACGTTCAAAGTACCAGCGAACAAAGTTGCGGCAAAAGTGTTTAATCACGGTTACTTTGCGTATTTAGCGACTGCCTGCGAATTATGACGTTGAGTTGTATTTTCCGGATTCAGTATCCACGGATCTGATTGCATCGAACAATCGCGACACCAAAAGAATATTACCGCAAAGATGATGGCAAAATGGTTGATCGTATCAAGACTTTCTCCACTCGAATATAAATTACATTGTTATTATATTGTTGTGAAGACCTACGGCCGCATCGTTATACGTCGGCGCAGGCAATCGGGATCAATCTGAAATTATTGAGACGATAAGTGTCAATCTTCCGTTTAATATTTTACTATTAAATTGATGTTTTTGCCGTGTATTGTTTCACCGGTTTGAAGCCGATCTTTTATTAGTATAAAACTATGTCATGAGGAGTTCGAACGAGGAGTTCGAATCAAAAGTATTGAAACGACATCTTCGACGTCCAGGTGTTTATCTATCAACGGCTAATGAAGTCAAATGGAGAATTGAGTCGCTAATGAAGCGAAATGACATCGTAAAGATGCCCAAGGATGACTATGATCGAAACAGAATGACGACTGGCTCTCATATAAATCACTGCACCACAGTTTGTCGGCACGTGAACCCGCCGCGAAACGACCGACGTCGCCCGGTACCGTCGCGCACCCGGTAGTCAACTGGCGAGGAGGCCCAATTTCGTTGGCTGCGGTCGTGCGAAATGACGTATCATTTTCCCTCTCCCGCCTAGTGGTGGTCCACGTCCTCGAGAACCAAGGATCTTGGTCGTAGCCGACCAGCTTTTTATACGCATCCCCGCGATCGCGCCAGTACCTCGCGTTAAACACAAGGCGACCTGTACGCCTAAGATATGTGTCAGAGGCTGTATAATGATCAGTGAAAGTTCGCCGGCGGGCCCCTCTGATCGAGGGCCCCTACCATCCCCGGCAACCCGGGTTCCATCTCCCTTGGTCTGGCAAACACTTTCATCTCCTCGACCTTTCTCCTTCGAGTTGGTCCAGCCGGCGCATAGATTTCGCTTTCGCTGAATGCCCAATCGATTCCACTCTTACTCGCGTGGATGGACAGAAACAGTCGTTGGGCTGGCCGCTACTGCTGTGGAAAACAAGTGACGTTTCGCTTTAGCAGGATACGCTTAAGCTTGCGTTTCTTCGGTCGTTCACTGAGATTGCGACATCGTTGCTTGCTCGAGCGAAACTTTCTAGAGAGAAAGATAATCAGGTATTTGGGTGCGTATCGGTATAATAAGAGCATAGATCGAAGATGAAGGATACGGAATTGATGAGTTCAATCATCCGTGCGGCGAAATATATCTCGAAAAATGGTCGTTTATATTCCAACAGGATGAAAAAACTGTTCCAGCTCATTAGCGTGGTGCACAAAACATTTATGACATAGATATAATTCTCCCTGTGTGCTTTTTCCAGGTATAAATATTTAAAATTGGTCTTTTGTAGCGAAGAAAAAGAAGATGAAAGAGAGGCATTATGAAAATTATAATAAAATTTGGATACCGTGCTTGCTTTTTCTAAATCTTATATCGAATTTTAAAACTTTTTCAAACAAGACTCTTTCCTTGACCTAGTAGACATGTTTTTTAAACGAACACCTTTTAAAGTTAAAAATTATCACAAAAATTATTAGAAAAATAGCAAAAGAATTAAAAATGATGAATGGCCTCGTGTGGAGTTAGTTGGAATGGTCGCTTTTTAAGTTTAAATAGATAGAATAAAGAGGGAAATCGTGAAAACGACACGGTTTTGCGTTTTTCTCCGCGGAAACGTATTATCGATAACGTCCAAAGCAGAAGAGAAAACGGTTGTGTTTCCTGCCGTAATAACAACGGTCCGAGCATTTCCTCTACTTCGCAAACACATCAAAGATATAGTGGACGGAGGAAAGAACTGTGTGAATCTCCAAGGTACGAGTGTTATTAAACTTCGAAGTCGATCTTGTCTTGGAACTCTTTTTTCTTTCGCCGAGTATTTTACCAACAAAGTGGTACGCACAGGATGTTACATGAATAAAAGTTTTTTGCACTGCGATAATTGGTAGCACACGGTAAAAGTATGACGAGTCAAACGTACTACAAAATGTAAAATTTCTGCGTTTCTCTTATTGAGTATGTGTTACCTAATGCGTATTGGATAACAAAATTACATTACCTAGATCCGCAATGATATTACGTTATCTAATCCGTGTTAAAAAAAGCGGTCGTCATTATCACGTCATGCTAAGCAAATATTACTTCCCAATTTTGTAACAACCGTGTTTCTACCTGTCACGAATAATAATTTGACATATCTTTATGTTGTTTGGCACATTTTCTTTAACTCTATTAGTTTCCGTTTTCGTCTACTCGTAAAGATGCGTCAGAGAGAGTTACTGGTAATGCGATCATCCGATCTTAATTAACGGCAATGCCGCTCGAACATTGCTCAAAGTGAAAATGTTTAGTCATGAATTTACCGAAGTCATCAGTAAATCTGAAACTTTACTCGAGAAAGTGAAAGATGCATCTCGAGATATTCGTCTCTATCGCCTATACATATATTGCTAAAATTCCTCTTTACAAACTTCTATTCCTTGAATCTTTGTAAAATGTATTTATTAAATTTAAATATTTTTTAAGATGTAGCAGTCGAGTAAAAATCTCTCTTGGACAGGAATGTTTTGCTCGATACATTTCGCATCCCGCGTTCAATTATCGATATTGGTGTCTATTTGAGTCACTGGGTAATCGAAATTCTTCTATTTATCTGAACGTTAGAAAGGAGGTTGATCACTAATTTCGACGTATGCATATATAATAGAAAATACCGCAGACTAAACTGTAAGAAAGAGAGAAAGGCTCTATTTAAATGCTCTACCTTTTTATATCTTCTCGATGATTTAATGGAAATGTAAAACGATGCGAGTGCATTTCATACTTCGTTCCAAATTAATTCTCGCATTTCTTGCATTATATTCATTCCAATACTTATATTAGATGACAATATATTTTCTATACTTTGGTTATTTATCAGGAAGTTTTCGAAGTGCGACTTTCAGAACGTGTACAGTTGGGACGTGTGCAAAGTAAAACTCGACGTTTACCATGTAATAATTGATGCTTTCACTTGCTTAATTCGACGTAACGCATCTCTCGTACATTTCACAATCTCTTAAATTTAAACAAGTGTTTTGTACGCGTACTTTGTCAATAATACAGCTCCTAGGAAGTGCGGATGGATCGTGGATGGATTTGCGTGCAAGTTACATTTACGCAAGACTGATCGCGACAATTGATTCGATCGCCAAACAATCGCAAATGCACAATTGCGTACGTGCATACGTTCCAGTAATTATAAAATGCACGATATAATCGCGATATAATCATCAATGAGATTGCAAAATCACGTATGTATATACATAAATGTATATACGCTCATTTATTAATTCCAAAAATAATGCAATAGATACGTGTAATATAATTGCCGTATTTTATTGGCATGTGTAATATATTTGCGCATATTAATTATTCTCTATGTACTTTGTTTTTTCGATTAACAAACGTGTGCAAATTATTACAACGAAAAATGGGAAATAAATCGGAAAATGTTTATACACAGTTTGTAATTTCTATTACAATTGGTAAATGCCAGGGAAATGTAAAGCAAAAGTAATTGTTTAAAATTATTTTACACGAAATTATATACAAAAAACTCCTTAATAAGATTTTGTCTCCCGGTTGAAGATGTTTGTTATTAGTTGCAAGCAAATAAAATGTTGGCGATTTATAATTTTTTTAAATACACCACTTGAAGTGAGTTACAATAAAAATTGCTGGAGGGCAAAACACCGGTGAAATTTACTGTCAAAAAGCCTAACCAATCATAAAGAATAAATTCTCGGGACGACAGATACTTCCTCGGAGTATAAAAGAGGAGAAAGTGAAAGATATTTAGTCAACCACAAAAAAGGCATTGATATTTGGATTCACATTACCTTGGGATTAATAAAAAGTTCGAGCAAAGCGGAAGACACATCATTGAAAAGCGAAAATTTTTTTTGTGCGTTGCATGCGTTGCATACTTTCACAGAGAACTTTCAATTTTTCGTTTCGATATATTTTAGCATTATATTACGATCAGTTGCAACGCGTAAACATGCATACCTTTTTCCTTTACAATCAACTAAGAAAATGTTTATATTATTAAACTTTTTATGTTTTCAGTATTATAAACAGGATTTCTATCATATATTATTATTTATAATGTTTTTTACATTTATCCTAATTTCACTATCAGTTTTACAAATAATGATTCAAAATATGTAACAGAATATATAATAATAATTATAATAATATAAAATAATGCAATCTAATCTAAAATAATATAACAAAACAATTTAATAATAATGTGAATTTTTATATATAATGATAAAAAGTAATAATAATAATAACATTTTTTTCAAGGTTACTATTTCTTTTTAAAGCTGATGTATTTATCAAGAACATTGTATATAAAATCTAAATATACCTCAACAAAAATGATCTCCAAAAGTTAAAAAAAATATATTTAAATTTAGCATTAAAATATAGCGAGCGTATAATATAATAGTTGTAAAAGAAAATTAAATTAATTTTGTTATAACATATTTTTTCGAACGTGCGAAACATTCGAGTTATTATTAGAACTAATTAAACGCGCATAAATGCATACATAAAATAATCTCTTGATATATCGCTGCATTTCGTCGGTGGAATAGAAAAATATATGCATATGTAAATGAAACAAGTTTTACATTTATATGAGAGTAAAAGCAAGTACCTTTAACAAGACTTGCAAAAATAAAACTAATAATACTATATATAAAATACACAATTTCTACGTGTAAGTAAATATAAAATTACGAAGTTTTATTCAATTGCAATTTAATTAAAAAACATATAACCAAACATATACACCAAGATATTTTTCCCATTACAAAATAGAAATATTTTACTGTTTACAGTTTGTATAAAATTAAAGTGAAATTCTTCGATTGCTATTAATTTATGGAAAAGAAAACCATTATCTATATGTGTGTGTATATGTGTGTATGTATATGAATAGAATTAAATGAAACTCTTCGTAATTTTATATTCATATACATACATATATAATTCGTTTTTTATAAATTAATAGTAATTAACGAATTTCACTTTTATTTTATAAAATGTTAAACGTCAAATATTTCTATTTTGTAATGGGAAAATATCTTGGTGTTATGTCTTTTAACTAAAATACAATTAAATGAAACACTTCGTAATTATATAAAATATGTATATATGATAAAAATGTTATAAGGTAATCATATTATCTTTAATTTTATTATACCATACTTTTATTTGTCACAATAGTAATAACCAGTTCTTTATTACTTTTAAAAAGATCCTATTTACCGGTTTTCTATCAGATGTGCAATGCTAAAGCCAACGGCACACGATACTATTTTTCCTACTGGATTGCTTACGAGAGCCAACCAGGATTTAGCTTCAAGTCACCTGATCTAAAACTCTGCATCCTGATTGGCTCTCGTAAGCAATCCAGTAGGAAAAATCGTATCGTGTGCCGTTGGTTTAAGATGGGTTAACATTATACCTGAAAGCATGACAGTCAGTACATAGTACTATGCTTCAAGTTGGCGTACTACATGCTATCACCCGTATTGTATGAGAAATGTAGCCGCGGGCGATCAGCATCCTTGGCAATGGGATAGGTAACACAGATGCATGAACATAACTGTAAATTTTGACGAAGTTCATCCACCTCTTGCAAAGAACTCGCGATAGGTACCAATTACGCCAAACGCTTCTTCGCAATCTCAAGCGCCCTTACGGCCATATCAAACAGATCGTAATTCGGAAAAGGAACGTTTCTATATTCGTTTCTGCATCGGAAATCGTTTGCAAATAGTATAGTATCAATAATTTTATCAATAAAAATAACCCGAATGTACATATGTACATACTTTTTAATGTCATCTCGAAACTTTCGAAGAGTAGAAATATACGTACTATGGTTTTGCTCAAAATATCTTGCATTGTGAATTATCGATGCATACGAACTTCTATAATGCTGATTTTGAATTTAAACTATTTGAAGATTTTTAGATTTAAACTATTTTAAAGGATGTATACGATCCAGCATATCAGAGTATTTGCTATGGCTGCTTTTTTTAAGCCTTTTATAATTCAATATTACTTGTATATTTACATTTCTGCATACATTTTGACATGAAAAAAAGACAGTTGTTTTAGAAACTAATATTTAGATAAAAGCTAATATTTATAATATCGTATTAATTATAACGTAAACTTAAAGTTAAAATTAACATGAAGAAATTGAAGCCAAAAAATTAGTTGGTCGGTTTTCAATTTATTTTTGTTCATTTAATTATAAAGTAATCAGACAGCATTTATATAAATAATTGAAACAAAAACGCTCGTTTTATTAAGGCAAAAGTGTAAGAAAGATGTTAAAATGGTTCAATACATTTAGACTTAAATTTATATTTGCCTTCAATTAATTACAACAAAGAAATAAAATAAATAAGAAAATTAAGCGTAACAATAAATGACGTACATAGCGTTTCATTACTAGCAGACAATTGCTCCTTAATGCTAAGTTTTATATTTTTCTGTTGTTTCTTTCTGAAATATCGCCGAAAGTTATGTCAAATAAAGCAGCACAAGGTAAATTGTTGAATTTCAACATTAAAGCTGAATGCTTCGCGGTAAAAACAGCAAATTACTCTCACAAATGAGGCATCGGTTACACCTTCATCTCGTTTTTATGCTTCAAAATAGACGTTTTTGCCTTTGATTTACTAAATTTTTCTCGCTATTGGACTTTTTACTCACCTGGTATGGGCGTTAAATAAATAATGGTTGTGACCACGGAGCTCAGGCCAACAAAGATCCCGAATCTGAAGAGCATGGTGCGTCTGACGGATCGGGACCTGTTAGCCGAGATAGCCGGAGAACCGCGAGAGGCGCGAGAGCGTGGAGAAGCAAGCCGCCGAGAAAGGTACAGACTGTCCGATGTCGTAGCCGCGGACACACTAACGCTGCCGCAGCAAGTTCATTGCCAGAGGGAGAGAGAGAGAGAGAGTCCTTTCCCTATTAAAAGAAAGATGTTTCACGTGCGGAAGCGCTAGCGTGTACGCCGTGCCGTTTACAATCTCCCAGCATTGAGATTACTATATGAATCTCGCCGAAGGATTGCGATACCCACTGATCTTCGGGGAAATCGTGAACTTCGTGACCTCCTCTCGCGAAGGTATTCCTCTTACTTGCAACTTTCTTCGATCTTCAGCGATATTATTAACGACAGCGCGAAATATCCTAGCTAATTCCTATGATAATCCTTATTAATTATTCTAATCGCAAATAAAAAAAATGCAAATTAGAAACGCTAGACCCTTTAATTTATAACGACTTCCTGTTCATTTCTAATTGGTACTCTTTACGCATCTATAATGAATAGCGTGCTGAAAAAAGCAAAATCAATTGAATAGTAATTATTACAAATATTGATTTAGCTGCAAAAAAGTAGCTTACTACAGAGAGTAATCAATATACATTAATTTACATTTTTAGCTTTATACACGTTATATTAAATCTATATCTAATCGAGAGGTTCGAATTTTTAAACCATCTGAAATAAGAAACTCGACTTGATTCTAAAATGCATTTACTATCTAGCAACGTGTGTTTACTTCCGCTAATGACTGACATCAAATTCATTTTTTTTTACAAGTAACGTATCATTTTGGCAACACACTTGGAATGTTTTTGTACTCTGTACTCCTTTCCTCCAATAATCTGTAAGTTAAAAAATGTGATACTTTTAGCTTATTATTTTTCAAACGAGATTAAATTGAACAACGGGAACATTTTAAATTGCCTTTTTATTGTGCATTTTACTGCAGTTAGCAATAACTTTTCTTATAATGGAACGTCACGTGGAAAGATAATTTGTTCTTATTGCAGTTTGTACTTCTTTAAGTTGTCGTAAATTGTTTCTTGCCTTTGAAAAAAGTTTAACGTTGCATTTTGGCTGCTGTATGCAGCCGCATCTGCTTCGATATCCCGCAAATTTATCACAAAATTGGCACAAGCGAGTTTGAGTAAACGACGTCCGTAGTCAAACGGTTAATGATATAATTTTTTTGCTATAGAGGAAAATCCCCTATTATCTAAGTTCCCGATAGAGAAACGCACGGCATAGCACTTTCTCGTAAGAAAAAAACCGCACACGATATTATAAATTGATGCGCCCGCATCTAATTTTGCATCTTTCTTCTGGTGTCAGAGTCCCAGACGACATATGATTTTTCCTACACAGAATGCACCAAGAAGGTCCTTCAGGACTTCTCTTTACTTTCGCACTCATAGACAAGCATTATTTTACACATTTTTATAACCAATACTTTCTTTAATCATAAATAAACATTTATTAAATACTAAGAAACATCTTTCAAACATTAAAATAAATGTGTTTTAATATTTAATAAACGTTTACGAAATATTATAAAATTAATCTTAAAATAAACCTCTTTCAAATGAATAAAAAGGGACTTAACCCATTGTTTTCATGTTTTTAAAATAATTAAAAAAATGTTTTTCCAAAATGTTGAAGAACGTTTTACAAATATTATTTTTTCCATCGAGTCTACATCGTTTTCCATCGATTTATCTTCCATCGGGAATAAACGAGAAGCTATAATAATTTAATATTATTTACGGCACGTATGGTATGAAAAAGATATGCAAAAACACATCCATCTCTCTACACTTCATTCATTTAAACGTTATACGAGTTTTAATCAATACACGAGATAGCATGAACGAGATAAAGAAAAAACGTAATGTCCAATGCAAAAAAGTGTAAAACGAAGAAATAAAAATTCAGATTGAACACTATTAAGCGTTCGAAAGCATTCGAAAGGAGTAGCCAGCGTGCATAAGTACACAATTAGAACTTCATTCAATTATTTGCTTATGCGCCTCTTTGCACGCGCGTATCGAGGGAAATCATTGCGGATTAGTGTACCATGAGCGAACGTGATGGCGATACCGGCGCGAACACGGAACAGCTGTGGAACCTTGCTTGCGCGGTAGACTCGCTTGGTCTCGCTCGAGAACGGCCGGTATCTGAAATCACCTGTCGTGTATGAAGAAGTAACGCTATGATAGAAGTCACGAATGAAAATTTCAACGAGGTGTATCCGCGTCTGGAGGACGCGTTGAGAAACGCGAGTTTCATAGCGATCGACGGGGAATTCACGGGTATAGAGGGTGACGATGCGAAGAACAGGTTAGTTTGCGCGACTTCTTGGTGCCACGCTCTCGACGTAAACGGTCCGGGCTGACGATGCTTGACGTTTTGCAGCCTGTTCGACTCAATCCACGAGCGCTACGAGAACAACAGGAGCCACATTCAGCCGTACATAATAATCCAATTTGGCATCTCGACGTTCCAGCGGGTCCACGACAAGAACAAGTACGCCGTGGAGACCTTCAATTTCTTTCTGCTGCCCAGATCTATTCCCTCGAAGAACAGACAGTTTCTGTGGCAGGTTGCAGCGTTGGAGTTCCTTACCATATATGATTTCGACTTCAACAAAGTATATGCTCACTCCTTGTGTATCCGCTGAGCCTGGTCTACAATGAGTCAGGCCTGGTTTCACCGAAGTCTTAGTTTAAGTCGTGTTTGTCTTTTTCTAAAGTAACAGTTGGTAAGAGACAGAGAACGAATGAAACTAAGCTTGAAGTTAAGCGACGTTGTTGAAACCCGGCCCTTAATCGTTAGAGACCAAAACTATGCGTTGGTCCCTTTTCCTTTCACTCAGAAACTGGGCCTTAGGTTTTTCGACGTATAGTTTCGACTTCTGGCTCATTGCAGACTGGACTTAAAATATTAGCTTGTTTCTTACTAGCGAGTTACTTGTTACGAGTTAATTTGATTCTTTCTTAGTCGCAATATGTTCAGGCTACAACATGCCGTTGCTACATTAACACTTTAGTTTGTTTTAAGTTTTCTTTCATCTGTTCAAATTGTCACGTTTGATTTTTACACTTTTTAAATATTTTAGTGCCTAGTTTAATAGCCAAGTATTAATGAAAGGAAACTTGTTTGAAAAAGCAGAGGAAAATAATGAAAAGATTAGTGTATCTGCGAGATACGTGGCGACCATTTTTAAGTAAGAAATAGTGCGACTAATGAAGGGTTAAATTAAGAGCCGAAATTACATGAGACGTTTTATTGTGTAGGAATAAAGCAATTTTGTACGTTTCAGCTTGCTTATCAAGGCATTTCGTACCTTGATCAGGTCGACGAGGCAATCTTACAGCAACAGCTACAAAACAAAACATTGTTCCAAAATGTGGCCCGGTCGATCTCCTACGAAGAGGATGATAACTTTAACGATGTGGTTGTTAAAATAATAAAATGGCTGAGTACAGCTAGCGATGAAACAGACTCGTTTAAAATTGAGTCCCCTACTCCGAAATTTCAATATTTTATACACAAAGAATTGAGAAAACGTTTTCCAAATATTTGGACTTTTTCTGAAAACAATACGGTATAGCCAGATTGCTTTTTAGAAAATAAAGGTTTAAATTTTTTTTCCAAAATTTTTAGGCTTCTTTAACTTTTAGGTAACTGTAATTAAAGTGCCACCGGAGTCGAGAGTAATTTTGGAACAGGAAGAAGGCTCCATATTAGAAAATGTATTGCTCGAGTCGTACATAGGTTTTTCAAAAGTATTCAAGCTTTTAGTTAGCTTGAAAAAACCTATAATTGCACATAATTCTTTTTTGGATTTTATGTTTGTGCATCAACAATTTTATAAGCCATTACCACGTATGTATGTAATTGCATGATAGTAGAAGGTACTTTTTTTTCTATGACTTACAATATACACAATGGAGACGAGAATTAAATTGCAATTAGTTGCGAACAATATTTTACAGAAAAATATATTGATTTCAAGAATAATATACATCAACTGTTTCCAACAATTTACGACACTAAACACTTAAGCTTCGAACTGAGAGAAATTCTCAAAACAGAAGGTAATTGTTTAATATTTCTTTATTAGTTTGTATGATTATATAGAAATATATTAAGTATATTCTTTTTCTTTTCAGAAAAATGGAAAGTTAATACTTTAAGTGGTCTAGTAAATTATTTTACAGAAGCACTAGGAAAACATGCGGTGCTTGGGTCGCCTGTTATTAGTCTCGCAACAAATTCAGGCGAATTAGATGGTAGATGTGGTTTTTTTAAAAATATTTTCTGATTCTATATAATATTACTATTAATTAATGAACAGAATTTTTCAAGTTTCAAGTATCACTTCCGACAATAAGAAATATCACACTGCGGGATGGGATGCTTTCTTTGCCGGTTACATATTTATCAAAATGGCTCATATGTTCACTGTAAAGCAATATAACCAGTAAGTTATGTTTTTCTTGTACAATATTGAAGATAATTTATTTTTACTCGACATATTTAGTATAAGCATATATACACCTTTTATTCTGTTTTATAATTTCAGAAGTTTAATTTCGAAGGAGTTTACGCATACAGAATTAATAAATAGCGTAAAAGGTTATGCAAACTGTATCAATATCATACGTGGAAGTACATCACATTTGGTAAGAAAAATGCCAAGTTTTAATAATAAATATATCATTACTTTGCGAGAAGAATAGTTGATCGTATACCATTTTCTGTCTTTATAAAGAAACAATTAATTTGTTAGAGTTTTGTCGGGCCTGAACCTAAATCGACGCGACCAAAATGGCTTTATGTGAAAACGTTATCGTCGAGTCCGATAACAGCCTCACAGGTATTATGCTTAATTATTGCACACACATAATATTGCAAATACAGTGAAGTTAAAGTCTTAAAGACGTATTTTGCAAATCGCAGCACGCGACATACATATAAAATCAATTGTTTTGTTATCAGTCTACATTGTTGTGAAATATTTGTCCAGATAGCTGAAGCAATGTCGAAGTTTGGCGCGGTTGACGTAAAACAATACACACCGAAGCGCATGTTAGTTGCAGTTGCAAATCACGGAAGGTTAGTACTTTTTATTGCTCTCTTTTTCTTACATATGTACAATAGTTTATCGCATTTTCTACATTATATACATATAAATAACGGGAAACGTCATTATTATACTTTCGAATGTATGAGAACTAGGACGCAACTTTATACATATGTTGAAAAAGCGTTTGCTGCCAACTGCGTCCGGTTTCGCGAGACGCGTATGAAAATACCATAACTCTGTGCTGTAGAAAAGCGCGATATAATCGCCCGATAAAGGCTCCAAGTATCTTATATTCATTTTTATTCTTCCGCGTATCGAATGTGTATAATCATTGAGTATGGAGTTCCACAAAGGAGGGAGGGAAATTTTATAATAGTGTGAGGCTGCTTCGGTGCAAGGTAGCGGAACTATTTTGGATACTCTTCAAGGGCAGCCGCATATACTCACTAACGCATCTCACAAAATGTGATTTTAGTTATTTACCTTCCTTACTCCATTTTTCACATATAACAATTATATTGCGGTGCAAACTCGCACGTTTTTCTCTCTTCTAGATGAATTTGACATCGCTCATACCCGAGCATTTAGAATATAATTGAGAAAACACTGCCGATCAATTTAGTATTTAAAAAATTAATTATAATTCTTGGAGCTGTACGTGTTGCAAAACAAATTAATTTAAGTAACTAGTAAGACTTTAATTTTAATTTTTCTAAAGAAATGATAACGGTAATAATTATTTTGATATAAAAAAAGGCTAATGAGACTTCGACGTAAGAAAGAACTGGAGAAACTGAAGATAGCAGATCAGCGATGGATGGCCCAATATTTTTAATACAAGTATATGCTGTCGTCATTATATTTAAAATATTCACTGAAAGATCTTGCGGCTGAGGCAATCGATTTATTGATTGGCACGATGTTACATCGAATTATTACAACATTTCGTAATGGCGAATCGCAATACTAGAGAGTTTATTTTTCCAGTCTGGTTGTACGATCGATCGATCGACTGCGCGCGTTTGTCTAATTCAAATAGTCTGAAAACACAAACCGTCGAACGTATCGCTAATTCAGTAAATCTATTACAATCGCTTGTTTTGCGGGGAGCGCGTTGATGCTCGCGAGCGTGTAAGTATCTTGCGACCGTTTAAACGCTGCAGGTGTTCGCGCGTTGACATCTCCGTGAGTTTCATTTTTCTCTCTTTACTCGATGAAGTAAACTGATACTTCGTGCCTCGCATTTACTGACCTATCGTCATCGGGGACTACAGGTTTGATAAATCGCGCGTTCTCCGTTATCTTGAGAGTATCAAATTTTTTCTCCTTATCTCCAAAACGACTTGATAAGAGAGCACTTGAGACATTTGCCTCGCACGTTTCTGCACAGAGGATAATCCGGAAGACTCTTCCTTGCGGTGAAAGTAAAAAAAAAAACATTAAGAAATAAATTATTCCACGGAACGTCGGCGAACGCGCGCCCCTTTTTGCGACGGAACTTTTCCGAATATTCGCACGACGGATAATTGACTCGATGCCGTCATATTGTACGTGTAAGATCTTCTTCGTCATTGGCACGGTTCCCGTCTTTATGTCGCTTTTACCAACGAACTTTTGCTGGGTATATTTACAGCGCTTATTAAAAGACCGCCACTGTCTACACCACCGTGTACATTATTATTAACGGTCTATTATTACACCTGATGTGCCACACGTGTGCAACTTTTGTCACGCGAAATTGGCTTATTACGTTTATCTCGTCGAGCGAGTCGATCGGTAGATTGTTGGGCACGTTCCCTCGTTTGCGACGCGACGTTCAAAAGCGATTTCCTTGATCGTTTTACAGCGCACGGGACATACTGCGGCACTTCAAGCAAAACCCGGAGCTGTACGTGGTACCTTACAATCCGATCCGGCACTCACGCTCGGTCCAACTTCTCCTGTGGTACGTAAGAATCGGTAATTAATCAAAGTGGTTGTATACAACGCGTGGTAATTTGGCACAAGTCCCGTTAACAAGTCTGTCTTTCGAAACCAGACACATAAAACAGACGTATCGGTATGTTTAACTGATTTAAAGAGTAGCTTGTGCATTTTGTTTTTCGACGATTCACAGCAATTGTGTCTAGACGAGATTCGATTATCGGCATTCATTGCTCGGTAAATTCGCGTACGTTAATTGTGTCCCCAAAAATATATCTCGGCTTCTTTTAGATTCAAGTAGCTCAATCTCTCTATTCGATAAAATGTTCTTCCTACGGCTATTCTGCGTACGGCCTTAGTGTACTAAAAGAAGAATCAAATGTACTTCGTAGTTGAACATATTTTACAGGAATAGTTTTTATTCTCTTTTCCTTCCTATTGGGAAATTGTCACGATCTTGTATAATAAAACGTAAAATTTTATATGAGGCGAGAATACTGCCTTGGACAAAATTGTTAGTCACCCTCATAATCATTAAACTGTACTGAATCTAATATCAAGAAAATACCTATTGTTTAAAAGTCGTTTACCAAAGTGTCCATTGCTTCTATACAGTAAATAACTTTTAAACAATAAAAATCTGTTATTAGACTTATTGTTAGTACAGTGTAATGATTATGAGAGTGCCTAATTTTTTCTAATAGCGAATTCGGTTACTTGCACTAGTGCGCACTAAGGCTTGTTTGCAGTCAATTCTTATATTTAAGGATCGTCTTAAATATCTCTTGAAATATTTCGTAGCCAATAAAATAATCTGCATAGCATCCACGCGGATCATTTTCTGGCTAAATACTTTTTGAACGTGTATTTAAGACAAAGTTAAATATAAAAATGGACTATAAGTAGGCCTTAGTGTGCACTCAGTGCGCGCCAGTCAGTGCAGGGCAATCGAATTCGTTATAAGTTTGTACTTTGAAATCATCTAGTAAACTAGTTAAAAATTCTCTTCAGTAATTTAGAAACTGAAAAGCATAGTTTTCTGAATTAAAAACAAACTTGGAGGCCTGTTTAAGCATCGAGATATACAAAACGCAATGACTCTGATACTTCGTCAGTATACATCAACTTCACATCTCGCGGTGTAGCAATCGCGACTTTGGTCGCCGATCTCCGACACATTCAATCCGATCCCCATTAGCGGCGGGACGCCGCTGAACGCGTTACGTCAAACAAATTAATGGCCCCCAATTGGACCGGAGTCTAATTAGGGTCGGTATTGCCGTAGATGCAGAAGCCGCGACTCGCATTGCCAATTGTTGCGAAGGCATTAACGAACGGCCTGGTTGATCGTTACATTACCTAACGCTCGCGGGTGAAAGACTTGTCGTTTTCCTGGCTATCCCATTTCGTACGATCGATATATCAATCTGCTCTCGTCATTACCGCGCTCCGAGCGCAAAGAAAATGCTATATTTAGGTCACCAACTCGTCTCATTTTGCATTCGCATGGCACTCGTGTGTCGTGTAATGAGGCTCCTCCCTGAATTAAATTTACGGACTCGTCGATGATTTTTGTGACTTTTTTCCGCGATTGCTTTTAAAATGGTGTTTATGCTCGATAATGGTAATGTTCCTTGAATAAAGAGCCTTCGTCCAACATTCTCACCGAATTTCAACTTGTTGACGAAAGAAAGAATACGCGATTTGAAATTGAATCTTTTCAATGCGCTTTAACTGCAGAGTTATTCGCGTAAATTTTATTTATTAATTTTTTATCCTCACTTGTGAATCTAGTAGCGCGACGCATGTTTATATATAATTTTTTTTGTGTTAACCACAGGAGCAGCATAGTCGTTTCCGGCGGGATTGTCGCATGGGTGCTACATCAGAAGTTCCAAAGAAGTTCTTAAACAAACTGTAAATATTCGTTTAACGCACAGCAACGAAAATTTAAAGTTTTAGATATATTTTTAGTCTTCATGGCTTCCGGATGATTTTAGATATATTTTATATAAAAATTACTGTCTATCAAATTTGGATAAAAGGTTAAACGATTTAAGACGCGTTACGAGAGAAGAATAATTTTTTTTCAATAGTAATAAAAGACAACGCGACTCCGTAATTATTTCACACATATTTTTTTATTACCCCGCGAGAAATAATTCGTCAATCGACGTCGAGCTTCGATTTGCAGCCATGACCTCCGAGAACGTCGACTTGACGTTGGTGAACGAATCCATCGCCGAGATCGAGATTGGCTCCGAAACACCCCGCGTATAAAAAGCTATTTGCGACGTAAACAACAAAACTGTTTGCCGTTCTGTCGAATTAAGAGAACGGAACGTCGGGTCCGGGCTGCAGAAACGACAGGCATTTTACGCTTCGCCGCGATGCCCGTCGCCATTCTGTTTAAATTTAAGATTCAGCTCGGGGAGCGCGGAATCTTCGCGGGAATTGTTATTATTATGACTCGTAGCGAGAGCCCGAGAGTTCTAAGTCGGACGGGGCTCGAAGCTCGAGTTTTCGAGTCGAGCAGGAAGTGCTGCCTGCTCTCGCTTGCCAAAGAGACAATCTCTCTCTTTCTTCCTTTTCGAAAAAAAAAATCCCAATTACTCCTGCCACGATCGCGTCGTCGATTGCCAGCGCACGTCCACCCGTCACGTTTTTCCCGCCCTCGATGTTCTCCTCTTCGTCACCGCCCAATCGGCCCGGATAATCGTATGGATAATTCAGACTCCCTCAAGCGTGCTTTCCGCGATGTTTTTTTTCTTGCTAACGCGTGGGAATTTATCTGCCGAAAACATGAAGCAAATTCCTCGTGAAACTACACTTCGGTGTCCAGCATAGATCTGAAGAAATAAGACTATGGGTTTTGCTGTAATAATAAAATACCTTTAAGAAAAGAGACCTTTCAGTTTTATGTGTTGGGGAAGAGGATGGTATAAAATAACGAAAGTGTATGTTATAATTTTATTTGTATATCGATCTTTACAGAGAGAAAAACCGTCTCCCAATACAGGTCTTTCGAGGTGTCTGTTGCTGCACGGGGGGGGGGGAGGAGAATTTTCATTTCAAATTTACCCTGAAAATCATGCGATCGTAGCACAACGTGGCATTTTGAAGAATTTTATGAGAGTTTTTTGAAATTTTATCATACATTTTAGTAGTAATTATACTTATTGTTAGTTTACTTCAGGGTTGGAAGTAACTCGTTACTTGTAACGAAGTTACTTTCGTTTGGCAACTCTAACTTCGTTACTTTTTCTCCGTTTTCGATTAGTAACTAATTTAATATTTACTTTAATGGTTAGTTTATATATATTTTTTAAGCCTCCACAGATTGCATCAGGCCTTGCATTTGCGCGTAAACGCCTTTATCGACACTTCACAATTCGCATGCAGATTTGATATTTTTATTTTCATTGCAAGAAAGTAACTGCAACGTAACGATTCGTTACTTTTTGAGTAACTGTAACTGCAACGCGTTACTTTTCAGAATCGGTAACTTGTAACTGTGACTATGTTACATTTTTAGCAAAAAAAACCTGTAGCTGTAACTAGATACTTTTATAAAGTAACTTTCCCAACCCTGGTATACATTTTACTGGCAAATTGTATGGAAAAATTTCAAAAACTCATAAATTTCTTCAAAATACCATGTTGTCCCGCGATTTTCAGGATAAAAATTTTAAGAGAAAATTCTCTCCGTGTATATTTAGGCGTTGAAAATAAAGAATTCGCGAGCGAGGGCCGGACGATGCATCTCTCGATCGAAGTCCACGCTTTATCGCGCGCTCCTGAGGAAGAACCGCGGCGCGTTCCGCCGATATCCCCGCAAAAGTTTTCTCTGGCCGTTACCCAAGGCCAAAGCACTCGAAATAATGCGGCAGCAATTTGTGTGGGCGTGCGGCCGGACAGTCAGCTTGGTCGCGCTGGTATCCGATGGCAGGTGGACTCCTCGGAAGAGATGCTGTCCCTCCCCTCGTTCTCGTATCGCGTAGATGAGGTAAAGGTCGCCCGCGTGGGCTCGGGCCCAGAGCTGCGGAATTGGGTTAATCAAGCTGCGAAGATCAGGATTTCGTCGCGAGATTGATCGATATTTTCGCGACGCATTCGAGTGCGACCTGATCTCGAGGTAGAGCAAAAGCTGGCCATTTTTGGAAATTCGATGAAAGATTTAATCTCCTTCTTTTCTTGCAACGGACCGTAATCGTCTGTCGCGAAGCTCGACATTGCGAAAGTATTCGCTATCGTCGCACGTTACGTTTCAAAGGTACGTTCTTGAACAAATGTACCGCCAATGTAACTGAAAATTCGATATGTGTGAACGTTGTAACCGTGTTCTTGAATTACGAGATATGCACGTGGAGGAGAGCGATCTTAGATGAGACTAATTTCTGACGCGCTCAACTGAATAATTAACATCTATCTCTAGTTCTTGGTTAGTCATCTCTTTTACTGTCTCCTCATCTGCGCAATTTTATAATTTAACCATCTAACGCATAAAAAAAATCGCATCGAGACATCCCCGTGAGAGATGATTCGTCGAAGCGATGTCAAGTCGATTCGACATCGATCGACTTTTCTCGCTGGGATCAATCTTTTCCACGTGCGCGAACGCAATCCTGGCGAACGATCAGCGTGTACAAATACAGAGAATATAACATCGGCGTGGGCGGACATTTCTCAAACTTGTAAAAACGGTACTGGATCACGACACGCGTAAACACGGTTGGCAGCCGCGTGCACACACGCCGGCGCTTGCTGTGCGGTTGAGGTCCATCGGCGATCTCCTAAGAGGCGTTCTCCAACATGCCGGAACATCTATCATGCGATCGTACGATTCGCCCATCGTCGCGAGATTATATCGTGTATAATGAGGTGTAAATTTTATTTTGTCGACATTATAACTTTTCCACGCCGTCCGATGCGCCATTAATCAATTTCGACGAGACACATCTCGCGTTTCTATTAACGACATACGTTGAATATTATTAAAACTGAATGAACGATTGCTTCGATATCGGGTTATCGTCAACTTGAACTTGATGAAATTGAGTGAGGCTTATTGTCGCCAGTGGTAATTAATACGGGAAAATTTTTTTAAAAATCGACTAAACTGGCATAAAAAGTGATATATATTTAAGTCCTTTTCCTAAGGGTCCTTTTCAAGTACAATTTAATGTTAACTGAACATGAACTCACTCTGATTAAGCAGTTGATCGACCATGACTGGCCCTTCATGAAGGGAGGTCCAGGTTCAAACCCTGGCTGAGGTAATATTTTTCGCAATAAACTTTCTGTGTTAAAAAACATAGCCAGTCATGGTCGATCAACTGCTTAATCATGGTTATTTATCTGCTGGCGTCAAATGATTCTTGATGTTATGAACTCTATTTCAGCATAAAATTAATTTGTCCAGTCAACATTAGACTGTACTTGAAAAGGACCCGATTGAGAGGTCGAAACGTTGTGACTTAAATATATATCACTTTTTATGCCAGTTTGGTCGATTTGTAAAAGAATTTCCCCGTGTTGAACTTGATGATTAATACTTTTTGAAGACCTCGGTTGCAAATTACTGCCTTATCATAATAAATTTGCTCGCCATTGTGCCTGTCGCAAAACTGCCGGTCCCATCTGACCACTGAAGTATCTAACATCGAAAAATTGAAAAAAAAATTGCGAAGAGTACGGTGCAAAAAAAATCGATGCCGAATTCGTCGAGAATTGCACGCGCGGAAGAGATGAAAGGGGATGAATCAGAAATACTTCGCATAAAACGATTTCTGTTAATGTACGACGACGAATCATCAGTTCGAAGTGGGACAAAGCCGCGGTATATTAATGGAATTTCCCCGAAAATTGGCTGCCGCCCGGCAATGTCGAGTCTACCAAAAGCAACGCGAGTCTGTCCTCTTTGAGTACCGTCCCTCCACTCTTTCCCTCCCCCGTTCCTCTTCGTCGTTATGTGTGTATTACGCCTATCCTTTGTCTTCGTCTCTGACTTCTTCCTCTCTTTCTCTCTCTCTCCCTCCCTCCCTCCCTCTCTCTCTTTCTCTTGCTCTCTTGCTCTTCTCGTTTTCTCTCTCTCCTGCGACGGGCTTGTTACCGCTCGCTTGCCGCCCGTAAAATCGTATCTCGTGACTGCCAGAAATATGCTCGGCGAACCTACCTATTCGTTCGCCTTCACCTATCGGTCCGGTGCCGTTCCCAGGACGACAGAGGAATATCGCCCGGCGACCGTAAAGACGATTGAAAATACCCCGCCGCGAGCTTCTCTCGTCGGCGGATTTTGAAATCCCTCACCTCGAGTCGCCGATGCAGCATCGCGCCGCCTGGCATGGCTTAGCACCTGTCGCACCGTCGCCGACGGCCAATGGAAATAGCCGTTGTGCACGGACCGGAGAACAACCGCGGTTCGAGTAGTACGAATAAACGTGGGCACGCCGCGGCCTGTACCCGCCGCTCTCGCCGTGACAATTAAAAGGGGGAGGGAGAAAGCCTGGCTCTTCGAATTGCACCCTCCGGTATTTCGAGGGCACTCGGGCAATTTAGAACTCACGTCGGATTTTTGTCTATTATTAAATATGGACACCGTGTATTGTTTCACGTAGGTACGTTTATTCTGATTTCTTGCGTATTTTTCGCGTTACACGGCACATGAGACCGTAAACAAAATTCTATCCTGAATTCTGACACGAATTATAGATGGTTTAAATGGGACGTAAGAAATAAAAATATTAAAACAAGCATGTCTCTGTTAAACATATAATTTTATCAAAAATATCTATCACACTAATACGATTTGTAGTATATTTATGTCTATTTTGCGTCATACGTGGTTCATACACGGACTTATTTTATATCATTCACTAAAAGTGCACGGTTAGAAAATGACTACAAATTATTGAATGCGAATTATCGAAATGAAGACGGGAACAGTTGCTACGAGTGTGACGATAAATGAAGGATAATTTGGATATTTCGAAAACTATTAAGATACAAGTTACCGATGATGCGTGGACAAATTGATTGGCGTGATAAATCTGCTTTACATTATCACAAGTACCTCTAAAACACGAGAGAGAATTCCGGAGAGGTCGAGATGACCGGCGCTTGTAA